TGAGTCGGAATCAACTTGATGGTACCTAACATCTAACATCTACCTAACAACAACATCTCCCAGGTTCTTTTTTCAGCTAGTTTCAGGTTGGTTTTAATTCACAAGAAACATTGGCAGGGGATTAGATGGTGAGCTGAGGGAGGAAGGTGTCAGAATACTTATCCCTTCCCTCTCCCTAGACGTGTGACCACAGTGGTTTACTCTGAAGTTCCTCCACCTATGCCCACTTCTCTTGTTGGGTGACTTTTCCCTTAGCTACTGCTCTCACCACATTCTGCTAACAGACCTAGGAAAAAACAGTCAATCATTGGTTCCCTTATTCATGTCCACACTTCTGTAAATAACTCCTTTATTAAACTATCTTCAATTTTCATTTAAATTTTGTCCTCTGCTTACTGAAGTAACTCTGACTAATATAGAGGGGAAAAAATATTAAAAGCAAGGATAAAAATTAGTCATTTTACAAAATTTCAGGTGTGAGGGGATGAGAAAAGTTATTTGTTGTAATGTCATTAAGAATTTAAAAAAATGGGAAAGCCTTAAATTACATTAAGTAGAAAGAGATGGTTATATTTAATGTTTGCGTTGATAAGCTTGTTAACGTTAATGTTTCAGAGGCTTAAACTCCTAAACATAATCACAGAGTGAGGGCCACCTTGACCTTAATGGATCACTGACCATTCAGGTTATTTCCTTTCAAACAACGTGTTAAATTCTCCATAACTCAAATAATCAATACTGAAGCCAAATTCTCTATCAATAATTTGAATTTCTTCATAAAATAAATTATTACTAAATTTTGTGGCTAGATTCTAGCCTAGTAATTTGAAAATTATTACTAAAGTCTTCATAGTCATTTTTGAGAAATAATAAATTGCAAGCATTGCAATTTCAAAATGATATTTAGACCCTACAGTAAATAGAGGAGGAGAAATAAGGGGACAAATTAGAGCATCACCAGTGAAATTTCTATCTAAGAACTAACCCACTCAATAAAGCCATTTCAAGTCTGCCAGTATACCACTGTTATGTCCTACCCATAACACCAACTAAGAGATTTTAACTCAACAAAAGATGAGGGTTGTATTATTGGTGCATTTTACTCTGAAGTATTTAAACTAGATTGGTCTGAAATATAAATTAAAGTAATATTATCCAGGAATATACTTGTTTAGCATGATAAATGATATACAAAAAATGAATAATCAAGAGTACTGTAATAGAATATCTCTAGCTGTGAGGCAACAGTTAAGCTGAAAGCATATTCTGGATTGCCACCTTTTCTATTTATCATAATTACTAAGAGACTTAGCAGGATAGCATCCAACTTGACTAAAAGGGAAACACTTCACAAAGGAGTATTTCTTTGCTATATTTTTTGCCAAGTATCAACTCCTTTCTTCTGATAGGTATAGTTTATGAAATAGAAATTGGGAGCCTAGTGCTTGAGTGGAATGCTGGAAATGGTACAATAAGTAATGCTGGTTTACAGAATAGAGATCTAACTATAGTAAGCAGCATTAAAATAGGCTTTAAATATATAATAAGTACTTGTTAAACTACAGCCCACACAGCAATTTTGTTTGTTCTCTTTCTTTTTTTTTTTTATGTCTACTGAATGCCTGTAAATGAAAGGTTTCTCAAATTTATTTTTCAAATTTCTCTTTTAATTAAGCAATGAAATCTTATATACGACAACTGATCGTATTATTTTTACCCTGAGAAGGATATACTTTATCATTTTAAGAAAATATTCACTAATTTTCACTAAACTCAACCACATCTCAGTACTAGTGAGAGTTTGTTGAATTCTCCTCTCCTACCATCACATTCTGTGTTTATTTTTTGTAGGCTCCACTGACTGCTAAATTACATTGCAATTAAATTATATTCCCTGTTGTCCTGATATATACACTATGCCAAGGATATTTACCCATGATATGCTAGGGTAAAATAAATAAATAATAAAAATAAACTTTTGTTTATTTTTTTTATCATTGAATGAAGGTAATTTCTTGTACATGTGTCTCCCAAGGAGATATCCTAGTGCCAAAGTACATGACATTTTGACTCAGAAAATTTTCTCATTTAGTCTCAATGTGCTAAACTCTGTTCTACTGTTGCAGCAGATTGGGTTGAACTGTTCATATGTAGATGGAAAAACACAACATTAATTTATTTGAACTTATTACTGTAGCAGTTAATATATGACAATTTTTCCCCCACAGAAGTTTAAGCAGATAGTCAATCAACTCTTGCCAAAGAGGTTTAGATCCTAACAAGGAGATTGAAACATGCTATCACGTTATGAGTTCAACCCCCTAATATCAATATGTAAAGGGTTTTGTTTGTTTGTTCATTGCTTTTGTTTTGCTTTATTTTGTTTGGTCTGAATTGGCATTGCTTGTGATATTAAGGGAGTTCTGGTGGTGCAGTGATTAAGAGCTCAAAATGCTGGCAGTTCAAATCCACCAACTGCTCCTTGGAACCTTATGGTGCAGTTCTGCTCCATCCTATAGGGTTGCTATGAATGGGAATTGACTCAACAGCAACGGTTTGGTGGTATTAAGGGAATTCATCACCATCTCTTAGAAGAGAAGCTTGTTGGAGTCAACATAGTGTTAGATATATGAGGCTACATTTGCCCTTGTTAACACAAGTTGGTGATTTTATTTTGTTCATTTTCTCTAGAACAAATACTCTGGTGATTGTGTATGATGCTGTTCAGGAAGTAAATACATTTGTCAAATGTGCAGGCCTAGAGTGGGCTTATAAAGCTGCTAGTGACAGTCAATGAAAATGTCAAACAAAGAATTGGATCAAGCAGATGTTTGCTTTGGGCAAATGACTAATTATCTTCATCTTGACCTAACATTTCTCCAATCTCTGTGTACTCAGCTATGTGCCAGCATTTCTTCTGAAATAAGAGTTCACTTATTAAAGAAGAGTTCACCTTAAATTCATGATGATTATTTGATTCCAAAAAGTTTCTGATGGGCAATCACTATGAGCTTAGAGGTAGCAAAGTTGTCCAGTACTTAAATTGTCCTATGTCTGGAAATCATATCTAGTGCAATTGCAATCAAGTAATTAAACTGACATTCATGGAACTTATGGAATTAGTCCTATTGCTTTATATACTCTACTAACTGGCTCTCTTAAAGGCAGTGCTAGTATGGTAGAGAAGAAGACTTTGATTCAAATACTAGTACCTTCATTTATTAGAGGTTCCACTTCCCTCTTTGGTGAAGTTACTTAAGTTTTCCAGATGTTAGTTTCCTTATCTGCAAAGTGAGGGTTACTACTGCACAATAGAGTGGTTAAGAGTATAAATAAAATAAGATT